AAGGGTCACGAGGGACCGTGTCCACCACTGGTGGCGGACACTTGCTGAGAGCTCACAAATGCTCCGGTCCGAACGAGCCGTTTTCCAAAAACGCGCCTGGTCGCGAATGGGTAATAACTTTCTTTACCCGATTCCATCCAGTTGCACTTCTTAGCATTGTTGGATAGGACGGCACATCACACGCACACAACATAAAGAAATAAATAAATTAATAATATAATACTGCGTACAATGTGAATGGCTGACATGCTACTATCAAATATTTATTAGTGAAAACAAATAAACAGGGGGCAGTTTCTAGCCTAAAGTAGGCCTATGCAATATCACAGATGAATGAATAGGTGTTCAGTAGAACAGATTAAAGTAAGGAGGTATTACATCGAGGCAACTTTGTGAGGGCGTCAATGATGAGCGTTCGTCTGGATGTCTCGAGGGTATTGCAGACAAAGCCCTTCATGCCAACAACCTGCAAAAATATGAAAGTACTGGAACAGTATTGAGCAATCGGAGGAAATTTGAATTTTTCGGTTAACGCTAGCGTACGCTGGTGACGCTGGGAACGCTAGATCGATATCTATCCTTTCCCCGGCACTGCCGCTGGCGTACGCTGGAAGCGCTACGCTGCCGCAAAGTATAAACGCAGCCTTGGCTGCCACTCAGAGACGTCCTGAGCCAAGCCAACATGACATTCGGGTTCCGGGGCAAAGACACCCGGGGCCAAGTCCTCCGAAGGTGAATTATCGGCAAACCTGACAGTTTTTCGTTGAGTTTAATTTGAATTTGGTCGCTCACCGCTCTATAGAATATCCAGAGATCTTCGTCGTTGACATCGGAACGACCATGGGCTCCTGTTCATGCTGCCGCGTCCCTTGTCGCGATTGAGACGCGTCACAAGGTGCGCCTTCAGCACCTTTCACTGCTGGAGGAGTGGAGGAATCTGCCGCGAATTCGACAGTTGTCCATTCTTCAGAGGTGCTGCTTGTACTGCATTCTGAAGTGCTTTCGATAAAATCCAGTGCATTTTGTTGCGACGTCAGTAGCCCAACTGAGTAGGAACGCGGATACATGGAACCCGTACGGCGATATCTGCAACAGATGGGTTAATTGAAGACAAAGCATTTTCACTAATGGTAGAAACCCTGACGTAACCCTAACTTATCCTTCTTCAACCTTGGCAATGATCCAATAGCAAGGAACCACGGAAAAAGGCATCGATAGTCTCCCTGTATGGGAACTGCCACTTTGCCTATGCTGTGAGGTAGCACACTGCATGCAGGCGCCAGTAGGAGGGAGCTGCGTCCTGAACCAACGTCTGCACCCCTCCCGATCGTGCTGTGTACACCATGTGAAGGCCAAGGCACTGAGATCAGCGATGGCCGGCCTTGAAAGCACCTTATATGGACCCAGATCCCCTTCAAATGATCCACTGGTTCCAAAACAGCAGACACCCTAAGGAAGATTGAAGGAATCCAGTCCCGCAGTTACCTCCCCTCCACCCTTCCGCTGGTGCCTCTGATACGATCCCCTTCAGACTAATCAGCCTCCGCTTGCCACATTACCTACAATTTCCCAGCAAAACAGATAGACTCGTAGAAAGGCAAACAAGTGAGGGGGCTAATATCGTTTTCGCCCCTCTCAAATGAGACCCTCAAGGTTACAGCAGCATTGGCGTGCTCCCTTCTAGGCGAGAAGGTGAAACTGACGAGAACATGGACCTTTAGTCTTCCCTTCTTCTCCCATTCTTCCCGATGGAGCCATTAATCCAATATCGAACAAAGATTTTCAACAGCGATAATGGCGTTGAAGTGTTAGGAATAAACTTTGAACATCCTTCAGATAATAGGTTTCAATGTTGCTATTGAAAACATTTCATGAGATGCTTCCACCGAAGCCATCGCGATCATCATAAAGCTTTTGGTTCGAAGGTGAGAAGGGATAGAACGAAAAGTAAAAGCAAAGTGAGAAGGAACTGCAAGCGCGACTCTCTGGTTCATTTCTTTGTTGCTCGATTCGCTAGAAGGGGGGGGGGCTAATGCCGTTTGGACTCCAGAAATTTCGGCACCGAGCTCATTTTTAAATTGCCTAAGTCACCAAATCCGCTAAAAACTTGTATATAGGGGTAGTTCAACATTGATTACGAATATGACATTCACTCTTGCCGCTGGCGCTAATGGATGACACTACGATTATCTGCGCTCTGCTAAGGCTGAGCCCAGGAGGTAATCGTAGTGTCCTCTCTTGGCGCCAGCGACAAGAGTGAATGTCATATTCGTAATCAGGATGTTAAACTACCCCTATATACAAGTTTTTAGCGGATTTGGTGACTTAGGCAATTTAAAAATGAGCTCGGTGCCGAAATTTCTGGAGTCCAAACGGCATTAGCATAGAAGGGGTGCAGTAATAAGAAGCTCCGGATGATCTGAGATCAGATCACAGATCGACTTCTTTCCAGGAGTTCCGTCCTTGGGGGAAAAAGCCTGGCGCCGCGCCAAACCCACCCCTTCCCCTCCTACACGTGCCAGCGAACAAGACTGTACGTTAAAACTTACCTTGTCATAATCTTTGACACACAACTATGTGTCACTCCGATCATTCTTGCGATGTGACTGATTTTGTGGCCTTTTTCGTAGAGTTGCAGTATTCGTTCCCGATCCGTCATGCTTAGCGGTCGACCCGGATTATAGGCTCGACCTTGTTTGTTACGATCCGAGCCTGAATAAACAGATTTCCTTGGTCGCTTGGGAAGCTTGTTCCCTCACAACCATAGTTCCTAGTGAGATTTTTTTGAAAATTAAAGTAAATTAACAAACTAATTGTCGAGGGCGACTTTCCAGCCTAGCTCGCCTTCGTGAAAAATTTCGGTAAATTCTGCGCGATTTCTGTGGGAAAGGGCAGGAAAGGGTGCTTGGTGCTCCAAACCAAGACTACACAATGTTTTTCGGATACTCCAGTTTTGCGAAATTTCTCCAGTTGAAATGTCTACCTGTTCATCACAGTG